AGCGCAGAATGACAGTTGTAAAGTTTGTAATTGTTGAGGCATCATGTTACTTGATCCAATTTTTTGTCTTTCTTTTGCTGTGGTCGTTAAATGCAATCGGCCATAAAAATGAGTCTGCTGCAAAATGCCCAAATCAGTGGTGGGTTTCTGCCAGTTCGTACCAGATCGGGAGAACCGGATGGTGAAATTTACCGATCCGGTGAGAGGAGGGTCAACCGGTGGACCCAGAAGTAACTTCTGGAACGCCTGCCCCAGCCCTGTCGATCCACATTCACCCCCGCCCGTCCGGAAGCCGCTCCATCACTCACTCCCCCCGCCTGTCCGCACTATCCTAGCCCAATTCAGTGTCAATGCAATGACCATGGATGATGGTAGGGTGGGTGGGAATGGGGCAGTCTGTATAAATGTTCTTCAGTCTGTATAAATCTGGAGGAAAATTAAGATGAGAACATGGTCCATAATTCACCTGGCCTAACTATGTGACACCGTCCGGAAGCCGCTTCATCGCTCGCTCCCCCCGCCCACCTGCACTATCCTAGCCCAATTCGGTGTCAATGCAATGACCATGGATGATGGTAGGGTGGGTGGGAATGGGGCAGTCTGTATAAATGTTCTTCAGTCTGTATAAATCTGGAGGAAAATTAAGATGAGAACATGGACCATAATTCACCTGGTCTAACTATGTGACACCTAAGCATTTTTTTTATATTTTCCTCTAATTTGGTTCACATGCAAATTATCTGCTAGTACAGGTGGTAAACTTTTTTCTCCATTTTCACCATCCATAGGTATCCCTTATGTGTTCTTTCCACTTAAAGTGCTTATCATTTTTATTTCCTTCTTTCCTTCCTTCCTTTCTGTCTTTCTTTCTCTTTCTTTTTTTCAATTTTTTAAATTTTTATAAATGTATCATTGATTTGATTTGAATAGTGTGACATCTGGGTGTCAGACATTCGAATACAAAATAAAACTAACAAACTTAATCATAATTATTACATTCAACCCACTTACATATTTCTAGTAAATAATGCACATTTGTCTTAGATTACACTCTGTCACTGTTCAGTTATTCCACATTTGCTCTTATTATTACTTCATTTTATTATATAAAAATGCATACATTGATATTCCCCCTCCTCTTGTTTCTATCACCTATTCTAGCCTTTAATCACATCCTTAATTAAGAAACTTTTCCTCACCTACCTGAAAAAAAGAGAGAAAAGCAAAGTGTGTGTGAAAGAGGGAGAAGCAAATCAGAACAGCAAAATGCAGTAAAAGAAATCATCCTTTCATTGTCTCTTGCCCACCTCGATATTGCTTTCTTGAACAAAAATGCATTTTTAAGGGCCAACCTGCCACAAAAGACGATCTGCAAATATAAAAAAAGGTTGAATGGTATCATAGGTCCAATCAGCTCTATGCCCATCAGAGCTGCACATGTTCTTGTTTCAAAATACGTGGGTTACCTTTTTCCCATGCTCAAAACGTACAGCAGGGGGGTCTTCATAAATTAGGGCTCTTCTTTAGCAATATACATTTGCTTTTATTCCAAACTGAGAAATCTGGTTCTTTGCTTCTCTAAAAGTCAATGAATGGAGAAGGGGGGGGGGGGCGTTGCCAGGCAGTTCCTACAACAGGTTGCCGGCTAGGACTTTAAAAAGGAGGGGGACTTCCTAAAAATAGAAAGGTGAAGGTAATCAACAGCGCTGCAGGATTTTATTCAGAAAAATCTCAACTCTGTCCGCACGAGCAACGCTTGCAAACCTGTTCTTTCCAGCTGAGTCCCTCCCAGCTCAGAGAAGAGACACAGACTGTGAGTCGCTACCCATGGAGGAAGAATTGTGAATGGAGAGTGACTCCTGGTGGAAGGAAAAAAAAGGTGATTTGCACAGTGGGAAAGCTTTAGAAATAATTTCTTCGAAGGGGTCGAGATGTGTGTACTTCAGCTTCCAGAATTCCCCAGTCATCCACCCCACTCTTGCTATCTGTTCTATGTAGGCAGTTTGCAAAAGGTCTCAGAATATACACGGATGCAGGGGGGTGGGGGGGAATCTCCCCACAAAACCTTTCATGTTCTTTATCAGAGCCTTTCTCTGCGTCAAAGCTATTTTAGTAATCGGCCTTTACGGTTGCAAAGCTTTTGCAATCTGTGCCTATTTTGGCCACCTCTCCCCTGTGTCTGCAGGAAACGAAGAGTGTGTGTGCAAATGAGCCACCTGTGTGGCTGGAGTCAGACAGGACAACCAATACAAGCTACCTGACCAAGATCACAAACAACAAACAAAGAACAGAACATCTCAAGTGATTACACCAGAGGTGGTATTCTGCCGGTTCGGACCAGTTTGCCCAAATCGGTAGCTGAAATCGTGGCTGGCCCCGCCTACCTACTCTGGCCCTATGGCAACGATGGCTAACCTTTTTCTCTTAGCACGCGTGCCCACACCCACAATGCAATGCACCTGCCCCTTTGCAAATGTGCGCACAATCTCCCCCACCCCCCATGGCCTACTCGGCCTCCTGCACTACCGGGGGGGTCATTTTTGCCCTCCCCAGGCTACGGAGACTCCGGGAGGGCAAAAACAGACTCCCCTGGGC